ACACACTCTTACCCAAACAGACATGACATACACATCTCCTGGTGAACAGGTAAGTCTTTTGACAATGCCCTTTGCCTTAGCTTTAGATATGCCTGTTGACAGAGAACTTGACCTTTGACCTGCTTTCACGTTTCTGAGCTCTGGCGAGATACCTTTTCACAATGCTTTACTTTTTCAAGGCCCGTGCTGCTTTATTTTTACAAGGCCTGAGGCCTATATCGGGTAAAGGCCCTTTTAAAGAACAAGCCAGACGAAAAAAAAAAAAAAAAAAAAAAAGAAAAACATAACATGGAATTAATCAGTAATTAAGAGTCTTCCAATCTAATCATTTTATGTGCCGCAAAAAAAAAACAAAAAGACAAAAAAAGGAAGGGAAAATGAAAAAGTGAAAATATACATGGGATTGATCACTAATCATCAGGAAGGATAGACCAATCTCATCAGCTCAATGTAGAAACAATCCGGCCGAGTAAACATGATATGTGTCTAAAAAAAAAAAAAAAATCCAAAAAAATAAAATAAAAAATCATAGCATGGAAAATTGGAAATTGATGGAATCAATCACTAATGAAGAGTCTGCCAAATTTGTCTGATCATCTCAATGTGTTATTCGTCCTCGTCCATGGGGAAACAATGGAAACATCAGAATTTTAACAAACAAACAAAAAAAAAACTACTGACATCTATTCCACGATCAGTACCCCCTCCCCCCGGCCTCTCTCCTCTCTCTCTCCTCTCTCTCTCCTCTCTCTCTCCTCTCTCTCTCCTCTCTCTCTCCTCTCTCTCTCTGACTTAGGGAAGTGGGGAGCAGTCCTTCCACGTCGACTACTCGTTGCAGTTGGACTTGAAGGAGCGGTTGCAGTGGCAGTTGCAGTAGGAGGAGAGGCCGCAAGGAATCGGAGAGCAGAGGGAGAGGGAGAGGAAGAGAGAGAGAGAGAGGGGGAAGGGGAGGGAGTGATGACACTGGTTGCTGAGGGGGTGATTGCCCATTTCACTCCTCCAGAGCCATGCTTTTCCAGCCATCGCCAGAAAGCAACCACCAGTCTATCTGCTGATGTGGGCATGAAGTACGCCTGCTTGAAATTCCTCGCCTCCATCACCCTCATCCTCTCAAGGTACCTCTCCTGCACGTGAAGGAAGTAGGAGTCTGAGTCAAGGAAATTGCTTAGAAACATGTGATTCGTCCCGACCTTGCTCAAGGTGCCAGCCAGCAGACTCACCATGGATCCTCTTCCCACCCCGGTCCCAGTGTACCTGTACATGAAGATGGAGCGTCCGGGTTCGGTGGGCGTTACGTAGAACAAGTCCACCTGGGTGTAAGGGTGACCCAGCACGGTCAACTCCCTGGTGTACGTCACAATGCTCGGAGCGATGAACTGCACTGTGATCACTCCTGGTGAGAGGACTTCATCGTACACCTGCCCTTTGAACCCCTCCTTCCTCTCGAAGAGCGCTTTGAAGTCCATGGGATGCGCGCTATCGCGGCCTATGGCAGGAGAGGTCTTGTGGTGAGCGAAGGGCAGGTGGCTGGGATCGAGCAGGTTCTCGACCAGCGTCTCGTAGCTGTAATACAGCTCCCTCAGGTAGTACTCCTTGTAGCGGATCAGTCCCGATCTGTAGCGGTCGGGAACGATCGGAGGAGGAGTTTGGGTCGCCAATCGAGATCCCTCTTCGCTCTCGTCCGGCCAGAGGAGAATCACTCCTTTGAAGACGGTCGTCGGGACCGCGATGGCGCAAGCTCGCGGAGATGCAGTAGACCTTTGCTCCAGTCCTTCTTGCGGAATGCGCTTGCATCCGCCATCGCCGCCAAAGGACCAGCCATGGTAGGAGCACTGCAGCCTCCCCTGCTCATTTATTCTCCCTTCGGACAGCGGAGCTAGTCGATGCGGACACATGTCTAGGAAAGCGCGCCAAGTCCCGACTGCTTCGTCACCATCATCACCACCATGAGCAGTAAAGATGTGATCTTTGTTCCTGTCCGCCGCCGTCGATGCTCCCCCTCCCTCTCCTCCTCCATCTCTTGCAGTTGCTGCATGTCCGCCATAGCCGTCCTCCTTCTGGTCAGTGACACTCTCTTTGCCATTGCCAGGCCTCATTGTCACACCGGACCGGTCCCACCACAGAACATACCGACGGCCCAGGACGGTCACTGCATGTGGCTCCTTCTTGTCTAGATGAGAGACAGGCGCTACAGCATACCAATGCCTGTGCCACTGGAAATCTCCCTCCTTGTCCGTGCTCTGCTCCTCCTCCTCCTCGTCATCAGCATCCCCAGGTCGCTCCTTCATTAGCCTTCCTGGTGGTTCTACTGGATTGGACAGAGGAAGCCCCTCTCTCCCAATCAGGCTTGTTGTTGCTGCAGCTGTTGGGAATGAGGAGGACTTATCTCTGTCCGAAGAAGGTCCTGTAGAAGAATGTCCAAAAGCCATAGCTCGCAAAGTCGTGGCGACAGAGGAGCTGGAAGAAAAAGAAGAAGAAGATGAAGAAGAAGAAGACATAGACAGCCGCCACCTTCTCCTCCTCGACCTCTGTCTCTTCTGTCCGGCGCTTGCCTCATCTGCTTGCTGCTCCTGCAATGTCTGCTCGGCATCACCTCCCTTCCACAACACATGAGACTCTCTCGCGCGAAGAAAAATTTCCAACTTTCTTCTTGAGCTCGACACTGTCGACAGGGATGACGCCAGCTGGCCACGTGTCATCCAACTAGTGGTAGTAGTAGTAATTGGCCTTGAAGTTCGCTGGCTGTGCCGACGCGTCGTCCGTTCATCTGACTACCATGATCCCCCTGACAGCTGCTGATGATCGTTGGCCCCTCCTCTTCTACCGAGCTAGACGAAGTCTTTACTTGAGGTAGGCGCCCTGCTTCGACCCTTCCTCTCCCATTATGAGCTGATGGCATTGATTGGATGCGGACGGGTTCTCTAAATCCTGCCATATCCAGCCTCCTCCTCGTCCTTTCACACCCTATGGCCTCCTTCACTGTACACTGTGTACAGGTTTTCATCCCCATCGCCATTGCTTTACGAGAAAGTCCACACAGAGAGAGAGAGAGAGAGAGAGAGAGAGAGAGAGAGAGAGAGAGAGAGAGAGAGAGAGAGAGAGAGAGAGAGAGAGAGAGAGA